AAGCAGCTGCCCCCACCAGGGCCACACTCTTGGGGAATGGAGCTGAGACCCCACCTTCCTTTCTCAGCACCAACAGAAACAGACTTTTCTCACTGACCTTCTAAGTTGTGTTTGACATTAGTGGGTTGAGGAGTTTGGAAACCTCCACAGCTGGCCGCGATTCAGTCCTCTGAGGCTTGCTTCAGGTTCGCTGAGGCCTGCACGCCCACACTGCGCTGCGCTGAGCTCCCAGCCTGGCGCAATACACCTTTCTGATCAATCATCCAGGTTGTCTTGGGCTGGAAATTTGTTTCACTCTGTCTTTTTGTGGGTTCTGCTGCTTCAGAATTTGTTTAGAGCCATTTTTTATGAGTGTTTGGAGGGGTTTGGGGTAGAGCTCAAGCAAGTCACTGCTTTCACTCTGCCATCTTGGCTCCGCTCCCCATACTTACTTTAAATCTTATTTTTTTCCTCTCTGGTGAAATGAAACTGAAATCCTTATGTTTTTAGGTATGATTGTGAGATGATTCTGAAAACCATAAAGGCCTAGAACAATTTTTAAAATGTGACTCATACATTCAAGTATACTTCAAATTTAATTAGAGCATCAATTTAATATGAACTCAGAAGCAAGGTACTGTGCTACCTAGGTATTAAAGGAACTACAATGATAAAAGACATCGCTTACAGTCTAATTTGGAGGCTGGGTATAAAGGAGGTAATCAAATAATTAGAGTATGAGGCACAGTGTGATAAATGCACAAGAGTTTGACCCAATGAATTGGGAGCAGTCTGTTTGGCTTCCCTCTGCTTTCTTCAGTTTCTAAGATTCCTGCTTCCTGACCTGAATGGCATGAGGACTGTGCCACATGGAACTTAAGCTCAGAACCTTCCTGCTAAAAGGCTATAATAGGACCATCTTTTCCAGGACAGAGACTAAGAAATACCCGCAAGGAATGAGAAGAGAGGGAAAATGAGGCTGACATAGTCTTTAGGCAGGAAGTATTCTTTAAGTGTGGTTAAGTAGAACTTGCCATGAGTTGTCATTCAAGAGAGCTGGGTTCAAGCCTTAATTGTTATAAGTTAGCTGAGTGAACAAATTGTTCAACCTCATCTGGGTCTCAGTTTCCCAATCAGTCATCTATGGAACAATTATTGTTGTAGAAGGAGTGTTTAAAGAAAAAATAATTCTGTCGCCTCCTCCATTATCTAATTTCTACTCCTGCTGTCATCTGCGTTATTATCAACTGGCCAAGAGGCTAAACCAGTACCTACTGCTTTGTTTTTATCATTTCCTAGGGAGGTGGGAAAGAGGGAAAGGGAGATCTATGAGAGGCATTCCAGTTAGTCCTTTCTCAATGAGGACACCTTGATAGCTATTTTTTCCCTAGCTTGTTGACTTCAATGTTTATTTATGCCTCTTAGACAAATTTCTTGTTGTTTTACATCGTTATGTTGCAGAATTTCATCTTCATTGGGGAATTTCTGTAATTCTGGAACAATTCTGCTTTTTAAGCATACCAATCTATTATAATTCATAATTAACAGAGACAAGATTTCCAGTTTCACTAGAAATAAAAAAAAATCCCCAAAACATTTTTGGGTGGATGTCTTACAGTCTGATGGGGACCAATTAACAAATATTTATTAAGGACTTATTATATACCAGACACTGTGCTAGATATTGTTGATAAAAATATGAGTGAAACAATCCCTGCTTTCAAGAAGCTTATATATACAGGTTCACCTGGACTTCTTCTGACAATGGTTTGGTATATCCTTGAATGAAAAATCAAATTTCACCAGTAAAAATAGTCTTTTTCAATCCTTAGTACTCCAGTCTTGCTTGTGACAAGCATTTTTCCTTCATAGCAATAGTTAAAGTTTTCCCTTGTGTTTCTGTGCAACTGATCCTGGTTTATTGTAAGTTTGAATGAGCCTTTACTTCTTCATACCTCGTAGCTATTTTATTTCAACTTGTAAACTGAAATAACCCAACCTCTTTCCTAACCTCTCTGTTGACAACAAAGAAAACACTATTCTCTAGGTCATCCAGGCTCAAAACCTAGTTCCTATCCTTCTCTCTTACCTCCCTCACATCCAATCAGCTGCCAAGCCCTAACAATTTTACCTTCAAAACACCTCTTGTACACTTCCTTCTCTCTGCTGATACTGGCAGGCCCTCATCACCTCACACCTGGACTACTGCTAGAGCCTGCTAGTTGGCCTTCCTGCCTCAAGTCTCTCCTTACTCTGGTCCATCGTGCACTCAGCTATCAAACTGATATTCCTTAAGCACAATACACGACACCCCTCTATTTAAGCAACTCCTAGGACTTCCTATTACCTTCAAATTAAAAAAATTCTCTGTTAGGCTTTTAAAGCCCTTCATGGCCTACTGCTCCCCATTCACTCTTCCATCTAGGGATACTGGCCTCCTTACTGCTCCTTGAATAAGACATTCCATCTTTATCTCCTGGCTCTATGCATTTTCACTGGCTGTCCTCCATGCCTGGAACTGTCCCCTCCTCAACTCTGCCTTCTGGTTTCCCTGGCTTCTTTAAAGTCTCAGCTGAATTCCTACTTTCTACAAGAAGTTTTTTTCCCAAACATGCTTAATCTAAGTGCCTTCCTTCTGAGATTATCTCTGGCTTATACTGTCTATAACTTGTTTCTCCTAAGTTGTTTGCAAGTTGTCTCCTCCATTAGAATGAGCTTCTTGAGAACTGGGACTGCTTTTGGCCTTACTTATGTCCCTAGCACTTAACACAGTGTACACAAGAGGTGGTTAATAAATCCTTGTTGACTGACTGACTGAACTTTGTGCTTCCCACTTTCCAGCCAGCTCTAAGTCCTCTTCGGCAGTCCTCATCCCCTCATGTCCGCTATTGTTTAAAAGCAGGGAAGTAGGCCAGGGAGGTGGCACAGGAGCTACTCTTTAGTAGCCTCTCTTCAAGTCATCTCTGAGCCAATCTCTTCAAATTAAAAAAAAAAAAGGCTACAAGAAAAGAGCTTGATTGGAAGGTCCTAAAGCTGCGTTGTGTCTCTGGAAACTGAAAATGTCAAGGTCTGAAAGTATTCCATATATGAAAGCTGAATTACATAAAAGCAATAGCTAATAAAAAAAAGATTGTCAGATGTTGTGTTTCCATTTTTCCAGCCATTACAGGAATAAACTTATCCACAGAGAAGACCTGAAACCTTTTTTAAAAACTGATACAATTAAGCCTTATTACAGCATTTCTTTTCTCCCTCTTTCCCATGTTCCCAGTAATCTCCTCTACCTTCCTCACCAATCTCTGCTCTTCAGAATGTTTTGGAGGCATTTTTTGATTTCATTAGCAGGAAAATGTTAGTGTTTAAGAGTCAGAAAAAAAGATAGTGGTTTTGCACCTCTTTGGAGCAGCACTTCATATCTTTTCACAATCTTGTGGAAAATCCTCATTAAAAAAAGTCTGCATCTGCATATGTAAGGAGTTTGGATGTCTCTTTTTGATTACTAAGGGGAAGAGGAGATGATAAAGTCAAGTTCTTCTGGTACATTTTTTCCCTTTCAGCAAGACAAAGCATTTTTCATTCTTTATAAGGGTGAGCATTAAAGAGGAAAGAAAAAGCCAGTGAGACAGAATCCTATCAGAAAGCAATTTTTTATAGGAAAAAAAGGCAAGGGGGCCTAGCTCCTTCCCACTCTAGACAGACACATATCCCAATGCTTTTAGGAGCCAAAATTGGAGAGAGAAACACAAGAGAGGCACAGCAGGAAACTGAAGAATTGCACACATAACAAAAAAAAAAATCTGTGCTTATGAACATATGGGCAACTGTGATAATTAGAGCTATGGCTGGTGGATTCCCCCCTCCCCATTTTTCCAGGCTTTCCACTCACAATCCCTATCATTTATAAGCTACATTCAAACTCAAACTGGAGCTCTCCTTAATAAAAAAGATACGTATTTTTAAAGGGTCAATGGCATGGGTAAGCAATACAGAATCTACACATTCTCTAGCTCTACGTAACGCTAATGTATTAACATAGCCCCCAGTATTTTATGTTAACATCCTGTTTGGGGTCATATTTGCTGCCTCTACCAAAAATGAGAAGTCATGGTAATAAAATAGAGTCAAGGAAATAGCTTCCTTCTTATCCCCACAGCTGTTCAATCCAGGTTTCTTTGGGGCTCCACTTTGTTTCAGTCAGAAAGGGAAACCCCATTGGAAATCAGACCCACTAAACATACTGTCAAATGGTGTTTTATAATTTAAATCATGACAGTTCGTTTTTAGCCACTATTCTGCAGCAAACAAGGCTTCGTTACCTCCGGCAGGAGGTGAAAACACTTCATTGAGATCCTTCTACACCCTGCCAATTTTTTCTGAAGCATTTGTTTTGGGAAAGCCATCATGATCCAGAACTAAATAAAAAGGGATGGTAAACAAGTCACTAAATGGGTTTTTAGAAATCATTTCTAGTTTTTAAAAAAAGGCTTGATGTCTCTTTAAAAGGCATTCATTTCAAAGACTTGTCCTAAGAGAAACAGATAGAGTACAGCAGTGGTGTGCTTTTGCTCTCCCTGACTACCAGGAGAAAATTAATAATACAACTTTAATGTATTTGTATAGCAAGACTTAACATTATTATTATTATTTTCTCCAACTCAGCTTCTTAACTAAATGGAGGAAGGTAAATTGGCTCTCAGCACCGCCCTGTGGTGAGAGAATTTTTTTTAAAAGTTAAATGACAGTGGAACTGCATTCAATAAAAATGGTTCAATTAAAAACCAATTACCTTCTTGAATGCAACCTGTTAAAAGTTCACTTTGTAGAGCTGTTTGATGCAAGGGGGAAGGGAACAGGTAGGTGGGTCCTGAAGAAACAGGAGAGTATAGGTAGGGTAAGGGATGAGGCCTGAGGATTTCAGGTGTCAGAACAATGCTTTCTGCTTCTTTGGGACATTAATTAGTGTGGATACTAGTCAGCTGTTAGCACTTGGACCCAGAAATCAAAATGAAGACAAGCCTTACCTTTCTTTCAATGCGACCCAATTGCTCTTTATAGAAGATGTCACGGCGTCTTAGCTCTGCTTCTACACCTTCCAGTTCCTTGGCCTAGTTGAAAAAGAGCAAAACACACATTAGAACCCAGAAATGGCAAAAAGGGGAAGCTAGCATTTGGAAATGAGACCTGGATAGCAATTTCTGTTTAAAGTTCTAGGAATGAAGCTTAAAATGCCACATTTCTGTCTACAGTCCTAAAAGGATGGGAGGGAAATGCTTCCTTCATGATCAATTTCTTTTGGTTTAATCAACTCCCTCTTTAAAATTTTAATGTCTCTTTTCAGCTTTGGGACTTGAAGGTTGAGCCTACTCTACTGGAAACAGAATCCTAGAACCTCACAGAAGTGACCTCAGAGTTCATCCTACACTTTACCTGGGCAAGAATTCCCTTCTTCCATCCACCTTCCCTCTCCTCTGCCCCCAGCCACAGCATTCTTGACAGATGATCATCTCTAGTTCTGAGAAACAGCATGATTATCTGGAAGATGACAACTCACGGGTAACTGTACACACATTTTTCTGATTCATTCATAATTCTTCATCCTGTCTCCATGGCTTTATGGGACAAGGTATTTCTTGTTCCAACTATACCTGGGTTCCAGCACCCAGGATTTCCCCATGCATACCTTGCCTTTTTATTTACTATAAAATACTCCCTACTATTTACCCTCCTAAAGGGCTTTAGTTCTGCGATAACTAAACACTCCCAACTGAGGGAAGGTCTTCTGTGCTCTGAGAACTTCAGAAAGCCCATTTCCTTTTTCAAGCTCAAGTGCGTAAAACAAACTATTTGTGTGTCTAAATCCATCTAAATCCACTTGTAAAATACCAGGTAGGAAATACTAGCCAAAAAGTTTTTGTGCAAAAAATATACGTATAATATATATAGGAGTGGGTGTGCATGTGTGGCAATGCTATTATCTTCTAAATGAAGTGAACAGATTTCATTGGATAATCAGCAGTGAGGTTTACCAGTGAAAGTACTGACCATATAATAACACCTAACTATAATACAGCACTGGTAGAAAGGCATTTAAAAGAAATGGAAGTATTGGTAATAGGGGAAAGTGCCAGTGTAGCATGGCAATGGGATGCAAACTTGGGAGCTGAATTCTAGTATTGGTACTACCTTGGGGGTAGCAGGTGACCTGCATTTGAACCAACTGCTTATTTGCCTTATTTATTTATTTGTTTGTTTATTTACTTATTGCCAGTAGAATGGGAAGAATATTATTAACCTGCTGCCTCTGGTGGTTGTAGAAGCTCTAAAAAGTGCTGAAAGGGTTTCTGGAATATCTCTGGAATGTAATGCTGCAGAAAAACTAAATCAAAACAGTAACATCCTCAGGATCCTGGAGGCCAGGCAGGATTTCCCATAGGCATTACTGTCAAGGTACTACTTGGAGGCTGCTTCCCAAGAATGCAAGCACAGCTAATCTACACGGAGGCCTTCTCAGTGGCTGAGTGCTTAACTATTAGTGATCCCTACTGCAATCAGAGGAGAGGCTGGTCCAATACAATTAAGCAGCCAGGATCAAAATATCTCCCATGGCTCTAGACCTGTCATTTTCTGGCCCAATACAAATGTCAAGAAAGAAAATGCCATTTAAAAGCCCAATTGCTCTGAAGCTCCATTCACGATGGGTTGGGGCAGGTAGGATTTTCAAGCTAAAGAGTAAGTTAGCAGGAAAAATGAACAATGGGACGTTCTCGATGCTAGGTGGCCCCTTGATAACTTAAACATCTAAAGGCTACAATGACAGAATGCAGTTCTGACCACTTGGAACAAAGTTCTGGAGCCACCTGCAATTTTCTCAAGGGAAAGATATTGTTCACACATCTGTAAGAAGAAATGAGGTTCTGCTCTTCTTCCACATTCTAAAGCACTCTTGTCTTACTTCAATACACAATATGATGAACCAGGAGATTCTAAATCTGTATCTTTCACAGATTCACTTATACTTCACATCTTTCCTCAGTAACAAAGGAATTAATATGAAAGTACAGTTAAGTCTCAATTATCCACAGTCTATTGGAAAGAAATATGGAAGTAGGGGCCAGACCTTAGTTCTAATTCCTCGCCTCCTTTTTTTTTTGCAACTAAATCCTGTAAGCTTTAGCCAAGTCAAGAGTACCAATGAGGAAGAATGTTACTCACCTCCTGACAGAGAGGTGATGGATTCAATAGGCAGAATGAGGCATACATTTTTGGACATTGCCAATATGGGGATTTGTTTTGCTTGATATGCATTTATTACAAAGGTTTTGTTTTTCTTTCTTTTTTTTTAAGTGGGGAAGGGTGTAGAAAAGAGAAAGTTTAATTTTAAAAAACAGGTTCCTTATCTGTAAGTGGAAAACCTACTCACATCTGCACTTGTGTACTCTCTCTCTCTCCCCCCTCCTCTCTCTCTCTCTCACACACACACAGACACACACACACCTGAATGCATGCGCAAATATGAACAAGGGCTCTGAAAAAACTAAAATGTCATACAAATAAAAGGTACTGGCATCATTCTGAATATTGTGAATTGTCTATAATTATGCTTTTAGGGCATTTCATCCTATAAGGTAGTGTTTATAATGAAAAGGGCACTGGACTTGGATAGAATGAGACTTGGATTCACATGCTGGTTCTGTCACTCATTAGCCACTTATTAACTGTGAGTAAGTAACAACTTTTCTGAGCCTCAGTTTCCACAACTGTAAAATAGGGATAATAATACATTACCTTACTTCACACTACTGTGAGAATTAAAATGGGATAACAACTACAAAGTACTTTATAAAGCTTTAAAGCATCATAGAAGATATTATTATTATGATTGTGAAGAAATTAAAGGAAGAAAAAAGAATGCTAATAATGCATTAGTAGTGCTCAGTGCAATGGTTTCTAAAATGATACTACCAATTATGAAAGATTTAAAAAGCTTTCACCTCAAAAGCCCTAGCTAGACCTCCCTTTCTCACATATGTTTCTTTTCCTTCATGCTATGTGTAGATTTCAATTCATTTCATGTCTATATGTCAAGTAATAACTGCCTTACAAATATTTCTTTTAGGGCTCTATTATTCTAGTTCTGATTCTTATCTATCCCAAAATATCATTCCCATCCTTATCTATCCCAAAATATCCAGCACAGTGGATAATACTCATCTTTCCTTCCCTTGGGTCCTCAGATGGTCTTTTGGGAAAACTTTTGCCCAGTGGTTCTAGCAATTAAAGGCTATGTTCTCTTCCCTCTACAAATAAACTCAGATTGTTCAGCTACGCCTTCCTAGTTACCCATTTACAAAATGAAGAACGATATTCCCTGTCTTCCACTTCACTTGGATATTGTGAGGATAAATGAAGTAGCATGTGTTAAGCACTTGGATTTCCTTTGAAGAAAAGTGCCAGAGAATCATCAAGAATGACTCCCAACTTCTGGATACACTATTCAGGACAGGTCAAAAAGAAAAGTGGTAGAAAATAACTGAGCGTGCACCTTTTATACAATGAGCAACTACTACTGGCAGCACAGGAGTCACTCAGGTAGCAGCTGGTCAATGGTGATAAAGAGCTGCAGCATCATCATCCACCAATTCCCATGATGGAATCCACAGCTGCCAGCCTCAGGAGAACAAAATTAAAGCAGAGAGCCAAATACTGGTCCCTGAACAGTGTCCTGGCTTCCAAAGTGACCAATGAAGATCAACAACAACAAAAAACCATGAGGAATCCCCTTAGCCAGAAGCTTGTGCCTCAGCCTCTGTAATCTTCAGCTTCTGCCGTGAACTCACTGTAGAGAACTTGTGTGCCTATCAGATGGCATCCCTGGTACTACTGAATTTGGTGTACATTTCCTAAGGGTCATTGATGTCTCACAGAAATTTAAAAAAAAAGAAAATCCATTTCAAGCCCATCTGCTGAAATATTACAGGCTTTCTCTACAGTCTCCATTTTTTATTACTACGGACATCTACATTAAAACAGGCCTCATATGGAAGACTTTTGTTTGTTCCTGCTTCTTTGTTCCCAGCCCCAAGTCACTGGCTACAATTTTAAGCCCTCCTAAACCATGTGGTGGTGATGTCAAAAAGGACAGAGGCTTCAGGTGTGGGAGAACACAGAAGCAAAGGGCCTCCTAGGCAACTGAGATCCTATCCTCATACACGTGTCTCTAGTAATAAATGAACAAGAGAAAGACAAAGCAGACAATGTGAAATCCAAATAGTACAAATTAAGCTCTGTATTTGCCTAGCACCTTATCCTAGGGCTCTAATCTCTTTTCAGACTTCTTTCCCCACAAAAATCTCAAGAACTGGGTAAAGTAACAAGTGTAGCTATCCCTTCTTTATAAATTGGGAAATCATGATACAGAGAAGAAACTTTCCTAATGTTTGAGTTCTTAACCTGGGGTTTGTCAACTTGTTTTAAATATTTTGATAAATGTATTTAACATAATTGGCTTTCTTTATCATTCTATGTATTTTATTTTACATATTTTAAAACATTATTCTGAGAAGGGGTCCTTATGTTGTTAAAGGGGTTCAAGACATAAAAAGGTCAACCCAGAGGTTAAAATAAACAACCAAATCACTAACTGGTCAAAAGCTGTGAATCCAGCTCAATACACTATGGCATCCTTGTCTTCATCATCAATACAGTATTATTCAAAGTCACATTACAAGACTACTTTCAATCAAAAACCATACTCTCATGATGCTACCTCTGTATTTTCAAACTCGTCTTGGGTGAATAAGAGATTCAAGTTCAAAATCAAACATATCACAGCTTACTCTGGATTTTATTCTATTCCTGTCTGTGGGTAATTAGAGTTGATACTCCACACAAGCCCTCCTATTTAGGGTGAAAAAGGGTTTTAGAAGGTCATCTAATCTATCCTCCACATTTTACAAATGAGAAGACTTCGGCCCAGAGAGGAAATGACATATACAAGTTCATATAAGTAGTAAGTGACAGAGATAAGATTCAAGCCCAGAAACTTTTAACTCTAAACTCAGCACTTTTTCCACTGCACAACTGCCCCTCGTTGTCCTCCTGCATG